CGTGGTAAGTATACTTACCACCACGTTTTACCACTTTTAATTTAGGTTTCCATTTTTCAATAACTTCAGCTTTCTTGAAGTGAGTTTGAATAAAATTGGTAACCATTTGTCACTTTTAAAAAACGTATAAAAGTTATAAATACATAATTCCTTTTGAAGTTTGTAACATTTAAGGAATTTATTTTATAAATAAAGAAAAATAAAGGTCAGTAAGTTCCTAATAGGTCATGTTAAATGTATTTACCACCAAAAAAATGGCATTTTTATAAACTAAATGAGTTTTTTTTTTAATATATCAATTACTGTTCTTAAAACAGTTTCAATTCCAAAAATACTTTAATTTACCTTTACTAGAAATTAAAGAAAAAGGGTTAATGGCTTTTTCCTAAAAAATTTAATGTAGTAATGTTATATGACAATCATTATATGTCATTTATATATTATACACCATATTAGTCATATATATACACTATTGACAATTTCGATATCAATGTTTGGAACAAAAATTAACCTGCTGTAGTTCAATTAAAGTGACACAATTGTCCTAGAGAACTATTTAATTTAAGTCAAGCTAGGTTGAACAACAAATAAATTTTTATACAAGACGGTTTTTTTGCATTATTTTTCAAACACTTAAAACCATTACCAATTGATAAACTGACTTTTTATGTGTACGTTTAATATTAATATATTGAGGTGACCGAAATTCTTTTAAATCAAATTTATTACTTTAAAGATCAAATCTGAATGGGATCAATCAAATCTTTTCTACGATCAGAGAAAAATTAGAAGCTACCTAAAATTTAAAGCAGGTGGATTTTAAGCAATTATTAGATTTATGGAAGCACAAATAACTTTATAATTGCATAGATAAACAAGTAATGGAAATAACTTTTTAAAAATATTGCCAATGTAAATTTTTAAATTTTTTTGATATAAATTTTTCACTTAATATCAGATTGTATCCTTCATTGTTGATTGTCCTGGCATCTATGTTCTTCTTGCCGTGGATATCCACTGGACCTTTCTGGGCTGATCTTCCTGGTAAAGAGGTTGAACAATGCCGGCGTTACTGGTGGGGAAATCTTCTCTTCATCAACAACTTAATATCCGTAGATAAGATGGTAAGTACCTTTAAAGATATCCATATGTTAGAGAGCTTGAACACTTTCAAGTACCATCCCACACTTTCACCTACGGTGGTTTTGCGTAGCGCAGAATTAAGACCGATTCATCTCGGTTCTTTACGGAGCTTGTGCGCATTGAACGCGCGTCATTGACGTGCAGGATGCTATGCGAAATTGTTAAATGGAATCTTTCTAACTCAGTGCTATGTATTTTAACATTGTTGATCCATTTAACTCTTCAAAAGTGCATAAACTCTCGTATTCAATTAACTCTTCTCTGAACATTTAAACATTTGCGCAGACTATTTAAAAAAACAAATTACAAGCAGTTTATCAAAATTAGGACTCCCGGTGGCTGAGCGGTAGCGCTTCGCGCTATCATGCCACAGATCCCTGGTTCGATCCTCGGGCCTGGCAAGGTTGACTCGCCTTCCATTTCTTCAGTGGGTCGATAAATGAGTACCAAGCATGCTTGGGAACTAAACACTGGGGGTTCCGCGTTCGGTTGACCACCTGACCGGAACATCTGCTCCTGCACCCCAGAGCCCAAGGTCAAGAAAACTGACCTTGGCCCTCTATGGGCTGTCGCGCCGATGAGTTTAGTTTTAATTTTTATCAAAATTAATATGAAAAATAGTTTGAATCTCTTAAAAAGTTTATTAGTTTATTTATTTATTTAGCTTTAAATTTAGATTATTTCAATAAAATCTCAATATCATCCGAATTTCTTTAACCCGAACACCACTATTAACCGAAATCAATTCCAGAAAGTTTGTTCCTTTTTTTTCTTTTTGCTTTAAATTTAAATTATAGTAACTTAATAAAATCTATATTATCCGGATCACATTTGACTCGAATACCAATTTTAATCGAAATCGATTCTAAAAACCCTTTTTGCACCTATGCACTAAATTTTGCTTTAGTTTTTCTAAAGAAATGTGAAATTTGTAAACTTCGTAGTTCCTTTATCTTGTTATCAACGTAGTTTAGATTGACCATAACGGCCTATCGTATTATGTTATTCGTTCAAAATAATTTTAATTACAAAATAATTTTACCTAATCATCCGAATATTTAGATGATTGAAAGTAGGAACTGTCCCCATTCCTTTGAATAATTGAAGTCCTTTTGTGTCTTAATTATCTACATTTCGGAGTTAAACTTTTGTACACCAATTTTCTTATTATAGTGCATGCAACACTCATGGTACATATCTACAGATATGCAGCTTCATGTATTTGCTCTCATCATACTTCTTCCATTGTACAGGTAATATAAAAAAATATTTTCTACTACTACTCTTTTCTAATTTAATAACACATTTCCTTAATGTTATTTACATATTATAGAGCTGTAAATTCTCCCCAAAAGAAAAAAAAACTGGTAGTAAAACTATTTCAAAAGCACGCTAGTTTTGAGAAGAGAAAACTGTGCGTTACAACAGCTTATTTTATTTATTTATTTTTTATAACAAAAAGTGTAATTTAAACTGAAATTATATTTTAAATAATCGAAATTAAGTTTTTTTTTAAAACTAAAATGGTAATCATTTTAATGAAAATTTCTAACTCTCTACCACTTTTCTTAAAAAGCACTGATACAAAGTGTAGCATTAACACAACGTCAGAGGAGCGAGGGTCTTATTTTTTTTTTAATAGTTGTGAAAAAAAGTCTTGCACTTGTAACTGACAATACTAACAGGGATGCCACAGGTGGCTTCCCTGTTATAGAAAAAGTGGTAGAAAATCATTTCGCTTTTATTTATTTATTATCTCTTCAATTATTCAATCATAATTACTACTGTGGCTTACATTTCAAATCATTAATATTTCAAACAAAAATATTCTTTGAATTCACTTTCAATAATAAACTGAAAATAATGTGCTTATAAAAAGTTGATAATTTTAATTTCTTTTCATGAAATTTTGAATTTTAAATATCAGCACTTATTTCATTTTTAATCACCGGTGGCAACTTTGTACTACATATTCTATTTTCAAAGTATTATGCATATAAATCTACCACAACCATTAAAATACTTGGCCAGGTAGAAGCTAATCGACAAGATAATATACCTGATTATTACGAATTGCACCCTCACTTATCAAAGAAAGAAATCCTAGACTTAAAGCTCTATCTACTAAAAGCAAAATTCGCGGACCTGATTATCGCCTTGGCTCAATAGGCAAGGGCCTAGGGACCACAATTTCTGAGAGGCCTAAAAAATTAGTAAAAAGTTTAATGAAAGGTGGGCTAGCTTTGTGTTGCCTTAAGTATTAAGTAAAAAACAGTGTTACAACAAACAGTATTAAATAAAAATCAGTGACTTGTAGCAAATATCACTGATTTCAATTGTTTGTGGTCACCAAACTATTTTTATATAACATTGTTTTGTTGTTTTATATTTTGCTTTAATTTATAGACACGTAAAATTTATCTAAAAAAATAATCTTTAATTGTCTGCTTTCAAAATTTCTCAGAATGTTTCTCTTGAATCATGCAGTTCAATAGATTCTTTTTCATTATTAGGACTACTCTTCAGTAATTTAATTTCAAAATATCTTGTAAGGGGCCCGGAAAATTTGGTGGGCCTTGGGCCTGAATTTCTCTTGATCGATCCCTGACAATTCGCATCATATGTTAGGAATGGGATTATAACTGAAGAAACTACTAATCGCTCTATACCACTGCCCGCGGAAGAAAAAAAAGCTTTATTATATATACTATATATCTTTTTAACGGCAAGCACTTGGGGTTTGTCCCATTGGCCACAGAAATGCCAGAACTGATACTCTCTTCTCGTTACCCAGTGGGCACCTGTGGCGAAGCCACGGCGGTGGAGCAGCGTCGCCCACGTCACACAACCACAAACCCGTTTATAGGGCCGGTCACATTCACAAAGAGGAAAGGACATAGAACACAGAGAGAGAAAGAAACATCCATGCCCTGAGCAGGATTCGAACCCGCGGCCAGACACGCTAACCACTCAGCCACCTAGTCGGCAGCTTTACTATATTAAGCAGCAGAGTTTAGCTATCCCACGAATTTCATGTGCCAAAGCAGCAGGCCGAAGCTATCTTATTTATTTGGTCGCCTTTGCATATTATTTATTACATGACTTGGCTATCTTATTTATCTTATGGGCAACTGCAGTTAGCTATCTGATTTTAATCATCTCCAATTGCATGTCAAAGGTTAAAATAATAATTCTAATTAAACATGTATTTTTCTGCTTTCTTTTCCTTGTTAACCTGACTCTTTTCTGTTTATCCAAATTATAAATCTATAGGAGTTCATCAGTTGGGTTAATAATTGCCTTAGGACTCACTTTGGGAAGTTCATTAGCAGTAGGAATCATTACCTATGTAAATAGCTACGATCCAACCATACTTATTTCGACAGCCAACCTGCCGTAAGTAATAAAAAAAAATTCTATACTGTTTTTTTTTTTTTTTTTAATTATCCGTCACAAATATGTCTTTTCATGTTCTTGTGTTTATAGATTAATGAAAAAAATAGTTGAAGACGTACACGTAAAGGCATATACTTACCTAGGACCTTATTGTGTTGGTGTTGTGACGGCATATCTTCTTCTTAAGTTCCCGAAAGTCAATATGAGAAATGTGAGTACAAATTAAAAATGGTAAAATTAATTTCATATTTAATTATCATACTGGGTAAATATAAAAGAAAATATTCGATTAATCAGTACTGAACAGCACTATGAAATCATACACGATAGACTAAAATGTACAAACCGACACAATAAATAAAGCTAAAATATTTCCATTTATTTATTTACTATTATTTGTTGCCCCTCCCTGAAGCTTATATTAAGCAGAACACGTTTTTAGTAGTTCAATCCCACTAAAATAACGATTAACTGCATTCAGTACCTTTTAAGAATGAGGCTATAGCTCAAGGTCTAATCGTGATGGTTAAAATTTACCATAATTACGTGATTTCTTCTGGTTCCACTTTTCCATTAATTCGGTTTTTCAGTACGTAACTATTTTGTTTTTTCATTTCTATTGGAGATTTGCAAGCTCCGTCACGCGTGGGTAAGTCAATCAATTTCAACACACATGCGTGACGTCGCTTGCGAAGTATCCAATTGACTCGTATCTGAAAATTGATTCAGCATGATAATAAATCCAAGCCTTAAAGTTGTAACACAACTACATGATAAGACACAATCATGTGATTAGTTGCAAGTACATTATTACCGTTGATTTTAAATTATTTATTTTCATAGAAACAAGTTTTAAGTGTGAAACAAGTGCCGTCATCGTTGGTAAATCGTGGCATTTGTCGATTCAAAAGCCAATCTGGTTAGACATACACGCGCGACGTCGCTTACATATATTCAATTAAATCTAATTTAAATCACATGGTAAAGCATAATCACTTCACTTCTTCTCAAATTACAAATACCCAATAACTGTAAATAAAATAAACATGTGGTTTCAGATAACATTAGGAATCAGATAACATTAGGAATACTAATTTGGCGATGTAGTCTGCCCATTTTACCACATTAACGTTGATCATTTTATTTTTATTTTATAACTGTCGTTGAACAGCCGTCCCAATTTTGGGTTTACGAGTACCAGTGTTCGACTCTATAGCCTTATAATTTTGAACCCAATCCAGAAGACTAGGGAGCTCCTGGATCAAGTATTGGGAGAAATTTGGTTTCAAGGAGAACTTTATCATGAAATGCACCCGCATTTGCGCTACATAAAAAGGAAAACCTCGAAAACCTTCCCCGGTTAGCTTGAAGGCAGGGGAACTCTTATCCTAGATCCATCTACCTCTGAGGATATTTTACGTCAGAATCGTCGGTGCGAGCTGGGTGCGGAATTCGCATGGACTAGTAATCGCTGAGATTCGAACCCAGTTCACCTCATTGGGAGGCGCACGCTTTATCATCTGAGCCATCGCGGCTTAACATTGATCATTGAATCTTTCTGACTTAAGGGGTATAAAATAATTAAATATTAAAGTAAATGCAATAAAATCTCTTTTTTATGAAATAAAGTTGTAAACTAGCAAACAACACTGATGTCTTCAAAATATTTGAAGAAATAGAAAAGTCTATGATTTGATTTAAAACAATAGTTAACATATAACCAATGAGAAAATTCCAACCGTGTTGTTTCGAACGAATTTTAGCCGCTGTCCAAATTTCATGACGATAGAACAAACAGTCCTGGAGACACCCGCAAACACAAATCCTTCATTCTATTATCACATATTATTTACAATATCGAAAAAAGTTCAAGAAAATTATGGTGACTAAATAAAATGTTAGCTACAGTTACAGTTTTATAGCCTCGAAACAACTTTAAAACTTAATGCAGCATCATTTCTAGATACGGGTAATTAATGTTTGAAAAATTATTGAACTTTGGAAAAAAAAGCCTAATGTGGTGAAATTTCAGCGCCATCTTTGAAATAAATATATTGACAATAAAAGCATAATGGTTAAGGCGTTTTCCTTTGAGTTGTCATTGTGAAGCACATTGGTTTGATTACCGGTGGCGGTTTCTCGCCCACCAAGCTTCAGATCGGTGGGTATTAGCTTGTCCGGGAAGTAAATGTTGTTAGTACAAATGCGGCTGATCACAGCTGGTCACGGAAGCGTGTTGGCTTAACCTCCATAACCCATTTGGCTCACGTTACTTTTGGAACGTGAGCACTTTAACGAACGAACTTTAAATTTACTACAAATATTTTCAATTCTTTCATATTTTTACAAGCTTAAACAATGCAACGTTGTATTAACTTTTCAAAGATTAAAAAAAAAGAATTAGATCACAAACGCTTTCCATTTTCACGAAACTGTGGCTTTTTTTTATGTCGACATTCTGCTCCATTTTCGTGATTGGGTACTTGCAACTGGAGAAGAAGTGAAATAATTATGCCTGACTATGTGATTTGAATCAGATTTAATTGGATAGCGACGTCACGCATGTGTTTCAAACCTGGTTGACATCAAAATCGACTAAGGCTACGATTTACCTACGATGACGTCACATGCAGGTATTCAATTAGCATAGAGAGCGCTGGCTAAAAATGGTGAAAAACTTAACATTACAGTAAAGTGAAAAACTGTTTCTTAGACGTGCATAATGATATATTCTTTTTTATTATAATCGCATTTTTTTAAATTAAAAAGAGTTACTTTGGTAGAGCTTTCAGCATCATGCAAAATGAGAGTAGGAAGCTAAAAGCCTTTTTTTCCCTTCTTTTTTCAATGCCATTATAATGTCCAAAGCATTTTTAAACAAATATTAAAATGCATTGGAATTATTTCGAAATTGCTGGTATTAAAGCTAAAAAGAAGTTATGAACTTCCTCTTCTCATTTTGGTCAATTCGAATTTTGCATCAGTAAAAATGGAATAGAAGAGAAAGTTTGTTTACATAAAGTTGATATCGAAGTATTTCCCAATTTTTGTCCAACCCCTGTATAAATGCATTTCTTTTTACTGCTTGTACTTGTTTGTTTTCATAAGTTAGTTTAAATAATGCAATTTTTTAGCGCTTCAAACTCATTGGTTGGTGCCTGGCAGTAATTCTTGGACTGTCTTCTGTATATGGAACTCATACGTGGAACACAGGCAACTTTCCTCCAGCGGAAGTAACAGCTACCTACGCAGCGCTCCACCGGACAGCCTTTGCTGTTGCTTTGGCTTGGCTGTCCTATGTGTGCATCAGCGGAAACTCCAGTAAGCATATTACTTCATTGAACTCATCATGAATATTACTGCTTGTAATTTAAAACATTGGCAGAACATTTTTTTTTTTTTTGATTCATTGACTTTTTCACAACGAACGTTTTATGTATGTACATTGTAAATACCGTTTCTTTTCAAATTAAGGTAGTTTATTTTATGCTTATGAAATTAAAACAACGGAAAGAAAGAAAAATCGAAGCACGAAAAGAACATACTGTAATTTTGATTCTATAATGTGTACATTTCTGCTTCTTTATTTGTGCTTCATCCACGTTGTTTTGCTTCATTTCCCGTTTCTTTCTATTCACTACCTTTATCAGTCTTTCCTAAGAAGAGAAAAAGCCAGCACTTGAAAACAATACATGATAATCATGTTTAATACACGTGTGTTAAAATACTATTTATATACTAAGCTGCCGACTTGCTCCGCTTTTTGGGGGTGGGGGGAGGGATTAGAGGTGGATAAGTTTATGCTGTAAACATGATTTATAATTTAAAATATTTAATTTAAAATCATTTTTCCCACTACTATATGTGAATAATAAAATACATTCAAAACTATTACCATGAATTGGCCAGAAAACTGAATTTGAGCTAGGTAATAATATATGTTACTGGATAATTCAAGGTTTATAATTAATAAAAGCTCAAATTTTATAAATACATTTTAATTCAATGATTTTCCTAGAAATCATTAATATTTATTGAATATTGGAGGAGAATGTTAGTTATAAAAATTTTATCCACGGATTTGCCCGCATTGGATTTGCACAACGAACCTTGTAGCCAAGCGAAAACGTGAGGTCGTTGTATCGTGAGCGTACAAAAATGCTGTTAATATTAACTCCTGGCTAAAAAACAAATACTTAGACATAAAAGTACCCTTTAAAGTAATACTTCATGGGTGAAAAAAACATTTCAAATATTATGCTGGTTTGGGATTGCCATTTACGTTAAATAACATAGGTTAAGATAACTGCTAAGACCTCTTGTTTTAACTTGAAGATAAACCATGCACATTTCATAAAATTAGTGAATGCAATTTTCATATACGAAAGGCATGATAGAAAACTTATTGCATCCTTTGACAAGAAACTTATTCATACACACATTATGAATGAAAATGATCATAAATTGCGAACACCCAGATTTGAGATAAGAATTTTGAGGGTTATATCACTCTTCCCTCATTCAAAAGGGATTCAAGATGTTTCACTTTTATTATGTAGTGACAGCGAAGGAGATATGGCTTAAATGATTTTTTTTTTAAATTTTTCTAATCAAATGATTACATTTAGGCCGCTATATTGGAATGAATGGCTCAATACGGAAGTTCGAATGGACATTAAAATAACATTGCATCTATAGACTTACTGTATTTTAACAAACGGGAATTTAAACATCGGTCGTTATAATGGAATGGTCAGAGCCGTTGTGGCTAAGGGGATAGAGCGTTCACTTTCAAATAGTGTGAACCGGGCTCGAATCCCAACGATGGCGGGTCGATACGAATTCCGCACCCGGGTCGTCCTGACCACAATAAAAACCTAACTAACTCCCTGGCATTACAGTCCATGTTGGACCATGGCCTCACTAACAATTTTTCTCCAAAGTCGCCTGTCTCTAGCTCTTTGTTTCCAGTTTCGCACCTTTAGAATCTTAAGGTCTTTCATCTCGTCTCCATCCTCGTCTTACCATCTCTTGGCCGACATTCCTCTTTTCCTTTGGCCCTGGCACTGCCCCTTGAATATCTCCTTAGTTTCCTCTGTTTTCCTCCATTCTTTCAAGTTGGTCTAGCCATTGAATTCTCTTTGCTGTTACATAATTTATTACATCTTTTTTTTTTTAAATAGTCTTGAAATTTCGAAATTGTATCGCCTTCTCCTGAGCTTAAACTCTTTGACAGGTTCAAAAATAGTTCAGACAGATTTTTTATCAATCTCGAGTTGAACCTTGGTGGCACAGGGGATAGAGCGTTCGAAATTCAGCGATGGCTGGTCGATGCGAATCCGCATCCGGCTTGCACCGACCACATTGATGACATAAAATATCCTCAGTGGTAGACGGATCATATGTTAGAGTCCCCTTGCCGTCAGGCTAACCGTAGGAGATTTTCGTAGTTTTCCTCTCCCTGTAACGCAAATGCTAGTTAGTCCCATCTAAAAGTCCTCCACAAAGGAAAATTTCTCCCAATACTTGATCTAGGAGTTCCCTTGTCTTCTAAATTGGGTTCAAAATTAAAAGACTACGGAGATGAATACTAGTAGTAGTAAACCCAAAATACGATGGCTGTTCCACAACCGTTATAAAATATAAAGTTATAGAATGGAATGGTCATTTTAATGGGGATCATAGACTGTATATACTTTGCATCCTTAACTATTGAGTGCAAGGACCTTATTTCTGCACAAATTATTGGTAAAATAACTTCCCATCGACATTTAAAGATCACGGGAGTTGGTTGTATGTATATTTCCCACGGCCTTATGTTCAAGTTCACATTTCTGCTTGTGTAAAACTTTAATAATAGTTGTATTTTGTACTCTTACAGGTTCTGTTTCAGCGTTTCTAAAATTTCGCCCATTTGTCTTCATGAGTCGTTTGACTTTCATGACCTATTTGGTGCAAGGACCTGTCATATGGATCAGATATGGGTCTGTAAAGGAACGCATGTACTTCAGTCATTATAATATGGTGAGTCATATTACATCAAATGAAATAAAAGTGTTCAAAATCATGAAATTACTAATCCGATTTCTCATATTTCAGCTATACGAATACTTGGGGAACATTATATTGTCTCTAACTGTGGCTTTTGTCGGTCATATTCTCGTGGAAGCACCATTTTCAAATTTGGAAAGACTTCTTCTGTCCAGAGCAGTGAAAATACCAGCTGAAAAACCTAGTGACCTGTGTCAAGTACGGACACATGTTGATGTGATTCCTAATAATATAGCGCCAGATCTAAAAGAGAAGATACAGAACACGTGATACTGAAATTATTTTGACTAAAGCATCAGAAAAGGCTGAAAACAGATTATTTCTGCCAACTTAGTGTTGCTGTGTATTTACGTATTCACTTCTTTAGGAGAACTATTTGAAAGAACTTAATAATTTTATCAAAGTTATTTTTGCGAGTATTTATAGAAAGTAAACTGTTTTTCTTTTTGGAGGTTGTGAAGTGCTTTATAATTGAATTTCTGGACGTTTTCTTTTATAAAAGAATCATAAATTCGATTACGATGTTGAATAACATTTAAAATGTTTTCTGTGACATAAGAAAATGAATATCTTTGTGATATCTGCAAATATATTTACGAAATCTACAACAACTTTAAGAAACGCAATTTATTGAAGAGCTTAAAAATGAACCAGGTAAGTGACATTTTTAGAGTGGCTATAAGCAAAGTAAAAAGAAGAAAAAAGTATCCGAACTATTTTATTATAGATATATTAGAAGACGGGGCTAATAATAATTTGTCGAACTTAATTTTTCCCTACCTATTTTGAAATAAGAATCATGCAAGCATATTAAAGACTTGCATAGTTATATTCCTGGGCGTCACTGGCTGGAATATTGAGTAATGTCTTCCCCTCAACAGTTAGAAAACTCCTAAAGTCTCCCTCAATACTTTCAGACATGCAAAGAAAATTTTCGTGAACTATTATCGATAAAGATTCTTTAAAGTTTAAAATAATAAAAAGATAAAAATATTTAATATTTTTGACGGTATTTAGCACATTTAAGAATTTTTTTACCCTTCTTCTGTGCGAAATTTAGAGCTATTGTCGCTGTGTAATTTACTGTCATTGTGTAGTTTAAAAATTGGATCCTGAAACGCTCATGGTTATATCAAAATTAAAGTGAAAGCAAAATCAATTCGGTTACATTGAACTTACCCATATCGATACAGTCACTTTTTGTCATTTTTAGTGACAGATAATCTCTGAAAAATGTCACTTACCTGCTGCATCTACAAAGCTCTCGATTTCCCGATTTTATGACAATTTTCTTAGAAAGACTTAACAATTATTCTATAATATATATATNAATCAAATATCTTTCTCAAAAAAAAAATACTTGGATAATTATTTTATAAATTTACAAGTGTTTAGATCATGCGATTTCTCATACTTCTCAATGAAGTTTAAAGTTTTTGGAGGGGTATGTTAAGAACGACAATAAAATACGAACAGAAAATAGTGTTTATGAACACCCTATGCCAAAAAATATGGTACTAAATTTGTAATTTATAAAATTTATTTTGGAAATATACGATAAATACAAAAAATTTTATAAACTTAGCGTAAATATTTATGGAGATGGCTTAAATATAAATGGACTTATTTTCGTCTTAGATTTTTTTTGCTATAACTTTAAAAATATTTAATAAAATTAAACAAAATTTTTAGAGCAATTTTAAATTAATTGCAAAATTATTGCTTTAAAATTTGAATAAGTTCGTTTAAAACTGCGCAAGATATGGGTTATTCAAGTAGTTTTTTTTACACTAACCATGCACAGAGAAAAAATTTTAAAAAATTTCTTAATTTTGCAGAGAATCGTATTTGGCAACCAATAAGAAAAGTTCGATTTGAATATCTTAAAAATTTAAATTTTCAAGCAATTTTCTAAATAATGTTCGTACTTTTTAAAAGAAAGCTCAAAATGATAAGGAATTTTCCACAAATTTCATTTTGTACTATTAAAAAAAACGATTATTATTAAAAATGACACCGGCATTGCTGGGAATCATCACCATAAAAATATCCTTGCTTTTGCCTGCATTCTTTCCTTATGCAATCATATTTCGGTGTAAGATCGTTCATTCTAAGGTATTTTCTTTTGTTATTCTATTTTGTCTTATGATACAAAATAATAGTTGCAGAAAACTTATCATTCAACTCTGACTTTTCTAATTAGTTGCCAAATACGATTCTCTACAAAATTATGGGGGAAAATTCACTTTTTCCAAATCTTGCGCAATATAAAAAGAGCTAGTGGAATTAGTCATATCTTGCACAGTTTTAAACGAATTTTTCCCAAATTTTAAAGCAATAATTTTGCAACTAATTTTAAATTACTCTAAAAATTTTGTTGAATATTTTTAAAGTTTTAATAAAAAACTGTAAAACGAAAAAAGTAGTTTTTTTTTTTATAAAAATGTCTGTAACTCCATTAATATTTAAGCAAGATTTACGAAATTTCGCGTAATTATTACATATAATTACCAAAATAATTACAAATTTATTGCTTCATTTTTTGGTATAGGTTCAAAAACACTATTTTCCGCTTGTAATTTATTGTCGGTCCCTCAAATCTCTAAAAGCTTTAAACTTCTTTCATAAATATGAGAAATCGCATGATTTCAATACTTCTGAAGTTATAAAATGATGCTTTAAGTATTTCTTGAGAAATATGAATAAGATATATATAACTTAGTTATATAATATTAAACATGGATATATAGTATAGAAATGTTCCCTTTACGGTTCCCGTTTGGTTCACCCATATATATATATATATATATTTAGTCAGCAGCATTTGTTTCTGTTGTGTGTGCTATTGTGCTTTACATGTAACATATTTAATTTATCAATGATATGCCTATTTCAGTCATTAAATGGCTATACAAAGTTAGCTTCATTAATTTAAGATATTAAATATTGTTTTCTGTCACAATTGTTAATTTAATGTAAATTGCTGTATTGGTAATGAGATAATGACTTACATGATTCTAAATTATTAAATATATTTTTATCTTGTATATACTAATAAATATTTTTTATACTATATACTCAGCCTATTTGTTAAAAATTCATATCTACTATAAGACAGGTGATGGCTTGCGAGAAGCTTAAAAAGTTAATAAGTATCGCAAAAGGTAACTAACTTGAAATATAAAACTCATTATTATTGATCTGATTACCAGTAATGATCACCACTTGAAATATTATACTCAATATTTTTGATTAGCGCTTAGAGCCTCCATTCAAAGCGCTAAAATATCAGAGGAATTTTTGGCAAATGAATTACATTAGTGATCCCAAAAACTTTTGCGATATTTCATTAAAGAATCCGGAAAGTAGTGTTTGTTTTAGAATAAATTCTGACAATTTTTTATTTTTAATCAATGATGTAATGATCATCATTGTAATCACTCTCATTATCATCAACCTACTGCCATTTAGTGAGCAAGTTTTCAAAGTCAGATATCACCTCACTTGACATCAAAATTTTCTATCACTTAGAGGTCATAAAATTATTATCTTAACACATAACCAACCGGGCCGAGGTAGCTCAGGGGATGAAGAATACCAATGAAGTGCCCAGGTTCGAATTCCAGTGGTGGCTTCTTGATAAAAATTTCTGCTCCCGCCTCGCACCAACCACAATGCAGGCGTGAAATACCCAAAGTGGTAGACGAGTGTGAATACCTTTGCCGTCAGGCTAAAGGTGGGAGGTTGGCTTGGTTTTCCTCTCATGTAATGCAAATGCGGATTAGTTCTATCAAAAAGCCCTCTATGAAAGCAAATTTGTCCCAGTGCTTGATCCAGGATTTTCCTTGTCTTCTGGGTTTGGTTCAAAATTGCAGGGCTACGAAGTTGAGCATCAATAGTCGAAAACTCAGTCAAAACTTTAGGTTGTTCAACACTGGTTGCAAAAATAAGCACCTAGTCAAATGGACGAGATTTGTGATTTAATTATTTTTGATGACAAAGAGGTAAGGGTATGAGGGTTAAGATTAAATTAATTATTTAAAATTTTTTTTAAATGTAATATACTCACAAAAAATTGGAAAAGTTTCAAATTTGGAATTGACTTTTAAGGAAAGAGAGAGTTGAAAGTTTCTTCAAAGAGTTTTGACCAGTGGAGAAAAAATACAGAAAAATTTTTAAAGAATATTCTACTCAGAATATTATTGTAAATGAATGAAACGTAACATTTTGTTTCATACAAAGTTGTATTTTTATTTGAATTTAATCATCTTAAAATTACATTACTATGATATATTGTTGTTGTTGTTCATTTACGCCGCACTAGAGCTGCACAATGGGCTATTGGCGACGGTCTGATCACAATTTTGATCCTCTGCAGAGGGGGTGGCAACCCCGCTTCGGTAGCCCGACGACCTGCACGCGAAGTCGAGCACTTTACGGTAGAACAATTTAACGAGGACCAATACCGCACGCCCTCGGTCCCTACGCAGGCTGATCCAAGTGATCACCCACCCGCACACTGACCGTAGCCAGTGCTGCTTGAATTCGGTGATCTGCTGGGAACTGAGTCTTAACGATCAGTTCACTGCGGGACTACTATGATATAAGTTAAAGCAAAATACAAAAAAAAAAAAGTGCGTGGAGTCCCTTCGCGCGGAAGAATTTAAACTTCGTAACCTGCGACATTAATTGTAGAAGAATCAGCAGTCGTAGAAGGATCACTAGTTCTATTCAGCGACTCTTTTTCCTGCTCCGCTCACTTCCGTGCTTTGTAATAACAGCAATATTGTGCATTTTTCCCTCGTGGACCTCTTGAACCAGTGGAAGTGCTTGTGGTTGCCTCATCGTCTCGCCCTGGAAAATGTATTTGTATTAATAATGTATGTGAATGCGTCATAATGTAATTTCAAAAGAGAAA